AGTAGACATGTTATGTAGATTTGCGGAATCAAGGTCATTTTGCGCGCACGTGCTTGCAAGAGCGTGCACGTGCAACACGTGAAATGACCAATATAATAGATATAGCCACAACTTTTCTTTTTTTAGATGAAATGCTTTGAAACTCATAACTTGAGGATATATTAGTAGTATAGACATGACGACATGGTGAAAATAGCAAGATCTCACGCGCATGCACGTGCACTTCGCTCTGATTGGCTGCAACTAAAGTCTCAATATCTTTCTTGTTTTTTGACGAAATCCTTTGAAATTTTGAACATAGCCATGCATTAGGATATCCTACAACATGAAATAAAGCAATTATCATGAAAACACGTGCATGCATGTGTGCTGCAATCTGATTGGCTGAAACTTTAAACAGCTATAACTCCCTTGGTTTTCAACCAAACAGGATGGGATTTGGAATATAGATAGATATAATGGACTTCTACAAGTAGGTATGGTCACCATGCACATGCATACACGTGCGTGTACATGTGCTGCAATATGATTGGCTGAAACTTTAAACAGCTATAATTCCCTTAGTTTTCAACCAAACGGGGTGGAATTTAGAACATAGATAGATGTAATGGACTTCTACAAGAAGGTATGGTCACCATGCTCATGTATGCACGTGCGTGCACGTGAAATGAGTAAAATCAAACATACACTTGAATGAGCGTATTTTTAAAATAATTTTGGATTAAATACTTTAATATTCAGTGTATTAAAAATATAGATTGTGTAGACAAGATGATATGGTCATGACGCAAATGCATTCACATGTGCACCCGTGCAATGCTAAAGTTTAAAGATTTTTGTACACTTCTTTGTAAATGTTGTTAAAATCTCAGATGCATAGAGTTTGTCTTATCTAATGAAGCTTACAGGGAATATGACACCAAAAGGGAGTTGGGGAGCGTTTGGGGAACATCTGTAACGGTCCCCGTTACAATTAGCACTAGTTCATGGACAATTTCATCAGAATATTCAGATGTAAAGATTGTCATAAATACTAGAGTTCTTCCATGGAATAAATTTTTAGAATATCTTGTAGCACAGGAAGAGTTTTATTTTGAATATTTTTGGCCAATTTATGCCTAAAAACAATATCAAAAATAACAGTTAGTCTTTAACGTTCACCATGACAAGGTGATATAAATGTTGTCTTTAAAAGCGTAGAAAAAGCCTGATTTTCATGTTCCGAACCCATAATATAGCCCCTGTTTCATGGAAATAATATAGGGGACATACTTATTTTTTTAGTTCAAATTAATGAAAATGATCAAATTAATAACTCCATGGATTTTGATGGAATCGGTAGATATGTAAAACGTTGATTTTTATATTTTTGTTGCCATGGCAACGGTTTCACTTAATCAAGAAAGATTGAAAAATCTTCTTTTTTACCCAAATTTTCACATTTTTGATAACGGAAAATTAAAATTTTAAATAATAGAAGCATGAATTATACTTATTCTGGTCATTTTAGTTTAAAAAGTTTGATAATTTATAAAATAAATCAATTTTTTCAATGAAAATAATATTCGAGGTGGAATATGAAATACGTTAAATTTGGCGTCTTTTACTAAAAAAATGGGACGGGCAATATCTTTGAAAATCATATTAATGATGAAGCTTATCTCCCTGAATAAATTGATATATAGCATGTTTGCATATTAAAAAAAATAAAAGTTGGAGGGAGACGCAAACCTTACCTTAAGACAAGTGATAATCTTCAACCGCGTGTCGACTTGTCCGAAAAAAAAACCCAAGAAAAGTAAGGAAATCCTCATTAAATACTGACTGTTGAATTTTGCTTCTAATAAACTGAAAACACCTTTTTTTATAATTCATGTAAAAAAAAAAGACAAATGGATTAATTGTTTCGGATGGTCTACACATTTTACAGCTTTAAAGATTTTTAATTTAAAAAAAGTTCTCCCTATTTCACCAAAGATGTTTTGTTTGAAAACATCAGCCAATGTCTGTATGCAAACGTATATCAAACTTATAAGCACGGGGCTTTGCGTCAGGTATTTTTTTTTTCTTCTAATTTGCCAAACTAAATATTAGACCGGAAAGTAAATTTTACGTAAATATTAACATTAAATAAGGAACCTGTTGGTAAATCTTCTTCATAATTCTTGGATTAATTTTCGGCAATCAAGTGTTGAATTATTTAAAGTCAACATTTTTAAATGTCTACTAGAATAAAAGAATTATTTAAACAACTTTTAAAAGAATTTATAGAATTGTTTTCGATACATTTTAATTTGAATTCATTGGTCAAAGTTGTTATGTTAAAAAATTCTTCTTTAAAAATAAAAACTTTTTTTTTGGGGGGGGGGGGATAATTTAATTTTGGTTTGTATTCAATTTTTGAAGAAAGCGATAAATCTGTGCGCCGAGAGACAGAATCAAATATTTGAATTTCTATTATTTTTTGAGACCGCGCAACGTTAGAAATTGCAATGCATGCTGACGGAGAATACATGTAAAATCAAGAATATAAAATACTATTATTTGTCTATACTATTTTTATTTTTATTTAATTATACTTACAATTACTTTTAAAACGTTTAGAAATGATTATAATCATTGTACATCAAACTGTTTTTAATTTGCGTCTGATTTTGATGTACATGTATATTCATTTCTCGCAATCGTTTATCAGTTTTCTATGATTGGGATGACATAAAACAATTAACTGAAAAAAAAATCTTAATATAAAAATTTGAATTTACGCAAATGTATAAATAAAAACTTCTTGTTGATATATCGCATATGAATTAATTCCACTTGTACACATTCCTGTAAAAGAGGCGCACTTAGCGTTAATCCGAAATATTGAAAATCGCGCAAAATAATGTCAAAGAAATTGTGACGTCGTTTTAATCTCGCAGTGACGTTATAATTTCTGTACACTGACGTCGCAGCCAGAGGGTTAAATACGTATATATACAGAAAATATATTAATAAAATTGTGAAGAGGACATTAAATCCAAGTTAATTGCCAATAGAATATCTGTAAATAATATTTCATTTCATTATAGAATACATTTTTCGTTGAGAAAATATAACTTGATCTGCCTCTCACTGCATACAAACTACGTCACGGTTTACGAAATGACGTCACATTGACAAGTGTATTGCGATCAGTGACTTGTTTATAACTTCTTATGTCGGATTTAACTAACGACAAAACAGCATGCTGTAGTAAGTGTTGATGTAGTTTGATGATTTCTTACAGGTTAAATTAATAAACCACCTCATTTTGTGGTATTTTAAAGAATTGTTGTATGACGTATATTTTGTATGATGTCATAGTTAAGTTTTCCCGTACAAATTAGGCTCAGCCCCCTTTTTGTAACTTTAACTGTGTTGCGTAATGATCGTGCTACAGTATATTGTTTCTTTAAGTAATAACTGAAATTAGCAATTGGTAAAAGTGTGTAATATGCTTATGCACAACATAGGAGAGAATATGTAAGCATCCTCATTTATCGCGCGCATTTTGGCTGACATGTTTTATATCCATAGCTTCAAAACTAAATTTGACTACACTATTTTCAGAGCCCAAGACAGGTGTGACTGTTCAAAAGGAACTGAAAACTCATCTCAAAGGCACCCAACCACACCCAAGTTGAATTTCCCGAGGTACGTGATATTAACCTTCAAAGATTTGAATTGATTGTAACTTTCTTGAGATGGACAACAGTTCGTTAACTTTATCTTTTTTTATAGTCTGTCCCACGACCGGAACGTCACTACTTTTTGCAAAATATCTCAAAATAAATAAATACCTTGGACTTCAACCTATATCCGATTGGTAGATTGATTTTTTTCCAAACTTCCTGCATTTATCCGAACCCTCGAGGTCAACCAGTGTATACACACGGCGGCAAATTCAAAGTCTGCGGGGATTTAACATTGTCAAAATGGCCACCGCTTCGGAAGGGGATCATACATTGTTCGTAATTTTCCGTACATTGCCGTCAGTAAAGAAATGACGTAACACACGTTCGGGAGTGCTCTATGGTTATCGACGTCCGAATAACCTATAACGCCCGAGATTGCCAAGTATATATAATTACGTCTTCAGCAAAACTTTCATACGATTACCCAGATTGAGACCAAAGGGATCAAAGATTCATAAAAGGGTTTTACACTGCATAAAGCAAAGAGGTATGACTCAATTCAAATATAACAGCGTAAGGCTTGGATAAATTGCAATCTTCACCATGATACATATAATATATAATAATAACGAGACTAGGTTACTGCAAATTTAGCTCGAGTGAAATGACTGCTTTTATCACTACAGTAGTATTAAAATTTTTATTCAAAATTGCTGCCTTACCTTTACGTTTCTCCATAACTCTCCATATAAATCCAACCCATTATAGTTTGTTGTAAACTTAAAACACACGGTCAAAATAAACATCATATCGTATCTATGTGAACAAGTGATGTCCTTACATGCACATGCCACAGATTTCCTGCTTTTGTTATACATCCAACGATTTAAACACATAAATCTTTCGTTGATATTATTTTTTTATTTTAAATCCTAGTGCAAAACAACATTTGTTGTCTGCATCAAACTACGTCACCAATGAATGTTGACCTTGTCCTTCCAAAACTTCCTGTGTTAGGTAAATTCAGACCCAGGATATACATTTTTGTTTACCACAAATATAACAGAATACCAAAAATTAAAATATTCCTATACACACAAAATTAAAATACATAACACAAGTGTGAAGGATATTTATGAATTTTTTTTAAATATTTTTTTTCCTAAAACAATTGAGATTATATGAGTTTTCAGAACAATTTTTTTATTGTAGGATACTGAATAGCTAGCTGGTGAAGACTGAAGACACAAGATGGAAAAGCACAAACATGTCTGTGTGCAATACAAATATTAAGCCAGAAGTACCAGCAGATATATTTTATAAGGTATGAAATAATGCAGATGCTCGAGTTTGGTTTTCAGTCCCAGCAAAATTTTTTTCTCAAGTATTTGTAAATTTTCAAAGTATGTTTATTCATTGACGATTCCCTAATGCACAAACATGTATATGCCTATACTATATCAGTAGTGTATCAGCCCTGTTTGGACTAGGCGAAGCTGCATATAGGAAGTAGGGCTGTCTCGCCCTCAGGGCTGAGATATCTCTGTCTCGGCCCGTTGCCAAGGGACGGTCTCGGCTCGCCCTCTTATTTCAAATCAAATATGTTTAATTTGTGTGAATTAAGAATAAAATTTATATTTAAGAAATAAAGACAGATTTTATATATATAAAATAATTTGACTAGAATCTTAGGATCTAAGTATCTTACCAGATTTTTAATAAGTCTTTAAAATTATAAATTGCTTCAAACATAAAACAGCTTTAGATTATAGGATACACCAGTTTGTTTGAACTGTTTTCATTGTTTTGTTAAGTAAAATTTAAAAATATTTTACAAGATAAATTATTTGTTTATAGGAAAAAATGTTTATAAAAGTCCAGCGCCCACTGATGCTTGAGTGTGGAGTCTATGCTGTTGAAAAGACTTCAAACAGAAGTGAGGAAATGTCGACATCAGTCATCTATGAATGAAGATGGAGATCAAGTCTCAATCCTAAAATTTCTGTGGAAATGGTGTTGTCTAGATCATCCAGTAATCACTCCATTGGCAGACTACCAGGTCATCTTTGGTTTTGTCAATACTTTGTGCCTGAAAAAAATAATAAAACATTTTAATTCGTCTTAGAGATTTCAGTGCGTAAAAAAAATACTTTTAAATTTGTGCAAAATGAAATTGAAGATACATTAAAAATTCAGATATGCTCATCATATTAACATGAATTGTTTACTTATTAAAAATACATATACTTGGTAAATTCTCATTTTCAGGTTTCAATCTGAAGTATACGTAGGAAGAGTAAAATCTTTTTCATTATTCATATAAACACTTACTAGCTGTGATCCAGAAGAATGTTCTGATTGTTTTGTCCAACATAAGATGAAATTAAATCTGACAAATTATTCTTAAAAAAATTGAGTGAACTGTCTTCTTCATGCAGGCATGTCTTTGTTACAATATCTCGACTCTGCATGGTCATCATAACTTCGAACTCTAGTGAATTATGCAACCTATAAAAACATAATTTTGTAAGTACATGTAATAAAAGTATAATCAAATATTCTATGCTTCAGTCATTATTACATTTTTTGATCAATGTGTGTTTATTCTTTCAAATGGTGAAATTGTGCATTATTAAAGGTGCTTCAACACAGATTTGAAGTTAATATTTTTTCAAATATCCTGTAAAATATCATTACTATCACTTATACTAGTATACATGTATTGTGATAGCATTTCACACAAAAATATTACAAGAGGCACATGGGCCACATCGCTTACATGAAAAGCTTTGGCCATGCATGCAGTTCTTTACAAAATTTATCCGTTTGTTATACCTTTTGTGATCCCATTACCTACCCCCGGGGTCATAATTTGAACAATTTAGAATCTACTCTTCCCCAGGTGCTTCCACATAATATTCAGCTTTTCTGTCTCAGTGATTCATGGAAAGAAGATTTAGGATACTGTGAGAAAAATATATACTTGAAAGATTAGAGGGAAAATTGTAACATGTAGACATCAGGTGCTCAGAACGTCAAAAATTCATTCTCAATAAATGTACAGTGGACCTTCAGGTATCCGGATGCCAGATAACAGGATGCTTCAGTATCCGGGTGATTTTTCTTCAAACAAAATTTTTTAACGTTTAATATTCTAGATAGTTCAGATAATTCAGATATGCGGACACTTCACGTATCCGAACAAATTGACTAAAAACCAAAGTGGTCGGATAAATGAGGCTCCACTGTATTTAAAAGACGCAGGATATTTTGAATATCTTGAATTTTATAGTAGACTTACTACTTTTGTTATGCATATCATCTTTGCCTTCGCCTAAGATTTCTGGTCTGCTTCTTTCTTTATACTGCAGTGTCTAAATCAAGCTTAATATTGCTGAAAAAAAGAGAAATTGTCATAAATGTGTATAACAGGACATGATTTTCATCATAGAGTGTTCCAAGGAACAAATGTGTCACTTGCTTTTAGCTTCTTTTAAATTATTAAGATGTATCTAAATCTAAGAGTGGTCAGCTATTTTTATTCTACTGGCATATACTGTATGCAACCTTCAACTGAATACTTTAGTTGAAATCATTATAAATGATAATTATTCATCATTTTACATGTTTTAATATGTGTTTCAAAGCAATTGTTACATTGCACGATCCACTTTGTGGGATCCAATTGTTATGTACATGTATTTTCATAATATTTAAGATATCTGTTTGTGTGGTTACTGAATATCAAAAAGTTTAAAGAACAGTATTATAAGCTCATAAACATGTATAAATGTTAATTTATCAACACTAACCACTCAAAAGTCTTAAGTTAATTTAAATATTGTCTGGGGTATTCTTTGTAAAGTAGGTCAAAGGTCAAGTCAAACAAGCTATACAAATACTAGCATATAAGGATAAAATGTTTTGTTTGATGTACCGGGTACTCTGACTGACCCATCAAAATGCCCCAAAAAATAGAAATAGAGACCGTTTCATTTTAAAACTGTGGTGTATTATTTCTCTTGGATGCTGTTAGATTAAAAAAAAATTTAATGATTAATATTTCATCTGTCTAGTAATCTAGTGTGTATTGAAAACTGTTTTAAACATTAATAAATTTCGGAGTCTGCAATTTTTTATAATGACACTTTAACATCAATTTGATCAATACTACATGTATTAAACCAAAAAAGCTACCTACCTAGCCTCCTTGAAAAATATGTGTCAAAGTACATCAAACAAAAATATTTTAATCATGGCCTACAGTTTTTAAACAAATGCAATTACAGATGATAATCTTCTTGGAATTAAGGAAACTGAAATTTCAAATTATGTTCACATTTAAGCAGTATAGGACTTTACAGAAAAAGACGATGCTGTTGAGGCTATGTGCAGCTTGAAAATAGTGTTCACTTGCCCTCTCCCATCTCAGGATTAGGTTGGTAGGTAGGTGAGAAAATTATTCTCAGAAAATTCAATTATAAATTTTATTAAATGTTTCTCCAGAATACCCCCCCCCCCCCCCAAAAAAAAAAAATTGATTCCTGGAGATTAAAAAACAAGTTTTGGGTCATTTCAGCCAGTTGGTTGGGACAGGGCAATCAAAAATTTTCTTTGAAAGATGGCCTGACTGAGATATTAATTTGAACTCTGCATGAGTATGTGTTTGAGAGTATTAATGGAAATTTCTCTCTGGTGTTACATGTGTATAAATTTTATTTTAAAGTCTGTACTCAGATGAACGATTCAGCCTATCTTAACTTTTTAAGCTGATCAAATTAAACAGACATGTTCTTTCTGTTTTCCTTTCATGAATACTGTGCTTAAATGCTGAAAATGGTTTCCTGAAACAGCTAGTACATGCAGATTTATCTACCTAATGTCTGGTTCTGCTAATTAATTCATCAATATGCATGCATGAACATAATTAATGACCATTAGAACTCAATCCTGTTTAATTGACAGACTTGATAAAAAAAAACATGATTTGCACATATTTTAATATTATAAAGTTTTGAAATGTGTTTTAATATCTATTAAAAACTCTGTTTTGATGTCCCCAGGGTGTTGGTACTACACATAAATGTAAAAATAAAAATGCACTTCAGATCTACCTGCCAAATGGATATAAATTGAAAATGAAAGTAGAAATAAAATTTTAAAACTTTAGTTACTATGATAATCAGCAGGTTTTTTTCTTTATGGTATTATTTCACCTACTTGTTTAACCATCTTCTTGTTCTATTATTATCATAGAAATACCCTATACATTTTTCACACATGGGCTTACATACATACCGTTTACAGAGCACTATAAACATTAACCATGAGCACTACCCAAATAGCTGAAATCGTTGTATCTAATGTCATCAATGTCACGCGTTTTGAAATAGATATAAACTCCTAGCATTTATAGACACTTCTTTCTTGTGTGTATATGAGCTAGTAAAACAACAACAGCGAAAAAATACCATAGAATTAACAAACAACTTACGTTTTAAACACTGGCGAGCTTGCATCATCATGTCAACATCCATTATCCACAAGTTGTACTTCGTTAGATTCGGACTATTTTCTCGCAGTTTATAATTAAACTTGTTAATTGCTGTTAAAATTTATTCTAATTCAAAGGGAAAGTTATATTATCAGTGAAAACAATTTAAATTAATTCCTTTAATTTTTAAAGATTTTTCGGAAATTTATTTTGCAAAGGACGACTACTCCCTTCGAAAACTGGTTCCCGGCCCCGTAAACTAGACGTTAATGGACGAGTTTACCATGTTAAATCCCCGTAGACTTTGAATTTGCCGCCGTGTGTATACACTGGTTGACCTCGAGGGTTCGGATAAATGCAGGAAGTTTGGAAAAAAATCAATCTACCAATCGGATATAGGTTGAAGTCCAAGGTATTTATTTATTTTGAGATATTTTGCAAAAAGTAGTGACGTTCCGGTCGTGGGACAGACTATAATTAGAGAAACGTAAATGTGTACAACATATGGGGGGATGCTTTCATATTGATATTATATCTGAAGTAATGTTCTATGAACGTGTCTCCATATTAAATTCTGCTTCTCTAATATTTTTTTCTATTTCAAAAAGGACATGACTCTTTTTTGGGGGGAGGGGGGTATATTGTGTAAAGTTTAATTGAAATAAGCTTTCGGAGAAGATGAAATTGTGAAAAAATCAAAAGGACATTCGATTCGTGGCAAGAACCTGTGTTTCTTTTGAGCTACATTTTGAAATGGAATCATCCATTTTTTTTAAAAAATAATTTCCTAAATGTTAAATTCAATTGTACTGCTGTACTGCTACTTACTTGCAATTTCGTTTCTTCATCCAAAATATTATCCAATACTATTCCAGAACCCAGAGATTCCTAGCAATAAAATATAGAAATTTCACTGCAGTAAACCTGTTAGGAAACACACGCCTGTACATTAGAACGTTTGCGACCAAATTCTTATGATTTTGAAAAGAATTGATACAGGCAAAACTAGAAAACAGAGAGCAGAACGGACATGGAGAATATCGTATGGCAGTGCGTAGGGAAAATCTATAAATAAGCGTTTATAGTTTTACGTTCTACTTAATACGTAAAAAGATGGGACTTATTTTTGAAAAATAGGATTCGAAAATGATTCAAAGCAGTTTATCAGTGTTGCCAACAAAAAGATTGGGAATAAATCCAAAATCGTTTTGCCAACCTGTGAAAATGAATCAAAACAGTGGATGAATTTGCCGCCCTTTTGGAGCGAAAATTCAAGGAAATAGAACGATACTGATGCTTCTTTATGCGGGGCGTTAGAATGATGTCATCGACCACGATATACCTTTCCGTCAGATTGAATACTTCTACAGGATGGGCGGTTCGGTCCTGCAGTGCCTATAATCACATCTAGCGAAAGATGACAAAGCGTTTCGATTAATTACTGTATTTTGGCAAATAATCACTATGGTTTTAATTTCGCTATGTTTGCTTTTCTTCATTTTCCTCGAAATTAAACCCAGCTTGAATTCTAAGATTAGTTTTTAAAAACGTTTAAATGATTATACGAAATTTGAATTAATTTCTAGCATCATGAAATTAAAACCATCGCAATGAGCACTTTTTGAAATATACTGAATTTTTTCACACTATGGAATTAAAACGATTTACAGTAATTAATATCGTGACCAAAAGATCTGAAGATTGGTTGGCGTGTCTGGGGTTGGGTGTTCGGTCCGTGGATCTACTGCATGTGTGCAAAACCAATCGGGGAAATTTGATACAGAAAAAAATTATCTATCGTTGCTATGCTGACGACTTACAGATCTAGATCATGAATGAATCCCAGGATAATTATAATTACATCCCCTTACGACTAGCTTAATACCTAAATAATAACTTTATGTAAGTGCAAACTTGCTTGAACTAAGCCTAAAAGCACGCAACTCGTGCACGCAATCAGGTAAAATTGATTCTTAAGTGTTTCTTGAAAAGAAGGTGAACATGTGAAAAGGTTACGACGACATCAACAGACAACGGATAAATTTCGATCAGAAAAGCTCACTTTAGCCTTCGGCTCAGGTCACTTAAACACCGTAATGCACTATCTAAAATGTTTTTTTTTCACCTAAAAGACATACGTGAAGAACGATAGACTTATCACATGAGGTTTACCATCTACCAAGACAAATATTAACAACATATTACCTTAGTCTCAATTTGATTATGTGAACTGCATTCTTGCTCTTTTGAAATTGAATCGTGTTTGTTCCTCTTTTTCTTCATATCTTCTTCAAAATACATGCTTATATCTTGTAAACTTTCAATCATTCGTCTGATTTCCTCCATCAGTTTCTCTTTCTTCAACGGTACGTCATGCACTCGCACTTCAGATTTCGACTTCTTTCTGGTACAACTCTGATCTTTCTTATGATCATCATTGTCATCTTTATCATTGCTATCCCTCTCTAATTGTGTACCCTTAGAAGCTAAACGGAAATACTGTGAAAAAGAAAACAATTCCAAGCATGATAATACCAAAATTATAAAAGATCTTTTGTACGTACACACATTTTATTATTTTTTTATTTTGCTAATAATTTAAGGGGAGATGGAATTTAAAAAAATACTTGTAATTCAACATTTTCCCAAGCAAATATTTTGATTAGGATTTGACTCATCCCTCTAGGGTCGATTTCTTTAAAAGTCAAATCGGTGTAAGGCTGTACTGAGAGAAGGATATGGGGATAACGAACAGTATTCAATCTCAAAGTCCATAATCTGTTTTACTACTGCTGTTTAACAGGTCTGAGAATGCTGTTGGACTTTCTAGGATTAAATATGGAGAGCTGTTGTAGAAGACATGGATATCAAAGTATTTAAATCACTAATATTAGAAGCTGTTTGAACTATAAATTGAAAAAATATATTTAAAATGCTTAAACACTGTAGTAAAAAAATTGAATGCTTTTTCAAGACGAAGGAACGGGTTGGCGAAACAAAAATATCAACTTCTTCATGAAACCTGATCCCACCTTTGATATTTTAAAGGTTTTTGTTTGTACTGCTCCAGATTTGTCTTGTTCAATAGACTTTTGAACTCAAGTACCGTTCATTATTGCCAAATATTCCATGGATGTTGTACATCATAAGGCTGGTTTTGATTTTAGTAAAAAACATTTAAGTTATTGTACAAACAAAAATTATACTGAAATTGGTTGTATTTACATTGTATCACACCAGAAATGCTTTAATGAGTTGACTAAAATGTATCTATTTTCTTCAGATTTAATTGTACTCACCTGTAATCTTTTATCTTTATCACTTTTTAAGTATTCTACAGGCAATTTTCCTTCGTGATCTTTTATGTTTGAATTAACTCCCTTTTCACATAGCATTATTGTAACGTCTAAAGTAGTGGAATTATTTTTTGCCTTTGCAACTACATGAAACAAACTTTCACCAAAAAGATTGACAGCCTTAGGATCTAACATCGGATACTTTTCCGAATTGTTTTGATACAAAATAAAAAAAGGGTATCGAGATTTTTTAATGTTCTATCAGACCTGAAAGTTTCATAAAAATCTAACGAGCCGTTTTCGAGAAATCAAAATCGGTAAGAAAAAAAATAATAAGAAAAACAGTCTAAAAACTTTGCCAACAATGACACATTTCCTGAAAAAAAAAATCATTTATAATCTTAATGTTTAAAATATATTTCTAGTACAAACATGTATAACTACATTCATAGCTTTTATTTTCTAGCTTTATATTACAAACTTCGGCTACATTTTCAAAATATTAATTCTAATAAATAAGTAATTGGGAAAAATCTTCTCATTTATTTTTTTTTTTTTTTTTTTTTTTTTTTTTTTTTTTTTTTTTTGCTTTTAAGGACGTTCGATCTCTAGCTTTTGAGTTGATTTTGGACTGGACCTTTATTTCTAAAATTCTGCATCATTTTTAAGTTTTAATATTCTACAATGCAAATTGAAATATATCCATTGCTAAAACGCAATAAAGTTCCATTCAAGTAAGATAAATCCAGGGACTATATTTTGTGGCGGAAGGTTTTTAGAAGAAAATTATCAATTTTCCGGCCTTGTTGAACTATATACAGTCCTGTTAGTTTAAGATTCCTATTTTCCCATGCTGGTTGCACACAAAGCATTTTTGCAGTGAAATGCGTTGTTTGTTCTGAAATATCCATTAAATTATTTCTTATGAATTACTTCGACGAGTTATAACAAATATAGTACATGTAAGTATATTCTGAAAGTCCAGGAATAAATTGAGCCAATTTTACATAAAATTAACAAATTTTTAGTAATAATTAAAAATTTACATCATATACCCCCACTTTTTATGTTCTTTTCTGTATATTTAAGATAACTTTGACCTATCTGCTTAAACTCAGCAAAAGTTTAAGATTTTAAAATAATTATTTTGCTTATTAAAATTTCAATGGCAGAAAAATCCTATTTTGTGAGTGTGAAAAGGTCAAATAATTGATTATGCCTAGCAATTTGAAATATTTTCTTAGTCACAATTTTAAAGTATCTTTTTTTGTCATCTCTCACGAGAGATGACACATTAAGTTTGATTTCCGGATGTGAAGTCCCATTGTAAGCTGCCATTTATCCATCGGCAATCCTCGGCTGACACCACTACGTTACATGCAAAAAATGCGAGACCACCCGATGAGCAACGACTGGTCAGTTTGAAGCGATGATGCTGTTTTCTAAATATAGAGATGTATACAACCAGCGATCTGCTTATTATCGATAAAGAAAACAAGCTGCAAAGAAATCATAGAGAGTCCGACACACACACAATCGCCTGGATTATTGGGGTTCTTCATATTATACACTATATTATGTATAGTCTTCTTGGCTATTACTTAAATGATAGCCAGAACTTGATAGATTCTTCTTACTAGGTCAATGTATCGGGTTCGATATTCCGTTTCTGTTCATTCGGGTTTTGTGTTTTAGTTTACATTAAGAATATCCGATCATGTTACGTTGTTTACATGTGTGAGTGATTTCTATTTGTTTGATTGACTATAAGCCGTCAGCGTGTAAGTGTATTTGTACTACATCAATTTTAAACTGTGCTATCAAACTTCCTGTGAATTTATTGCACTATGTAATTTTTTCATAATTTATTTATAGGTTGAAACGAAATAAATGTTGCAACACTGACATATTGTTATAATAAGACTGATTGTGCCGGACTTGCGATTTACACAAAACAGTCAGCGCGTGTGTAAAGATCCTCTGCAGCCGTTGATCCAAGAATTCACAGAAAAACAACATCAAATTTACTACTTATCATATCATACTAACCAAAAGGAATTGATGGTGAACACTTACTAAAATGCAAAAATATACGCAATGCATGTGAGTTTGGAGGTCAGTAATGGCACAAACTTTACAATCCTAAAACAGTCGTAAGTTCGGGGATTGTAAATTAGGACTTTTTGAAATTGTTAATGCTTGATTTTAGCTGATAGCACTAAATGTCATTACTTACTTATGCTTAAAAGCATGTGGGCGTTGGGTAAGTGCCCAAAGCCACACAAAATAATTATTTCATTGTTAAATCTTATATTTTGGGCAAAAAAAAAAACAACCGTGAGCCTGTGCAACCTCTAGATCCGACAGTGCTGTTAAAAGTTGATTTTGAACAGTAAACTTTTTGATGTAAGTTTAGTTCATTTCCCCTTTATAAGTAACCCAAGGGGTTCGATGCCCATATCAGTAAAAGGAATGAGAAGTTTACGGGAAATCTTTTGAAAGGGTTGGAATTATTTAAGTTAGCGCTTTTGTCTGCTGTCAGAGCTAGAAGCTGTGAAATATATGTACATATGTAAGGTCAAAACGAAGGCTTAGATTTTGCTCAGCTAATTCTTGTGATTTTTTTAAACAAATTTTACAAATACTGCTTAGTGGGACATTATTTTTTTTTTTAATTCAAAAAATATTACTCTTATGATTACTCAAAGGAAAAATGCACAGTAAAGTTCAATTATAGCATGGCTTACGGGGCAATATAGGACAAAAACTCTCTTCAACATGACAGGTTTATAAAGGGATAATGGATACTTTGTCATTAAGTGTTATTTCTTATGTATTAGGTTTCCTTTGTGAAAGTGCTAGGGCACATGTATATGTCAACGAAACGTGTCCCAAACTTTGTAGTTTTGATAATTTACAGATAAAAGAGATTTTTAAACATTTGTTTAGTATATTTCGTGCAGTGTGAAAAGATTAAGCAAAAAATGAATCCTGATATTATTTAGACAATTTTAGAAAATCAGATCTAAAAATGTATGAACCAGCCCTTTTAACTTTGTACTGCTGAAATTGTTCACAGCCCCTCTCTCATCCACACTTTTTGTTCAAGTAATGTATAGTCATGCACTAACAAAATGAATTTGTTTTTTTTTTAATAAAAAAAAAAGTTTAACTAGAAAGTCTGCAACTGCAAGCAATAGCTTATGTCTGGGCAAGACATTAATTTTTTTCATCACTAAAATAATACCTATCAGCAAAGCTTGGAAAAACCATCAACTCGTATCAGTCCATTCAGTTCTTTCAGTACATTTATTTAACAAGAGGCCCACAGGCCTTATAGGTCACCTGAGTATTGTGTAACAACTTTCAAACAATTAAATTTGGTTCGTGTTTTAAACCAGAGGCCATGAAATTCACAATTCACAATTTTGAAAGAGGCACCATTGCTTATCATAATTAAAGACTTAGCATGCTTACTCTATTTGTAATACGTAATATCCAGAGGAAGATCAGAGTAACATAAGAGAAAATGCAATTCCACTTTATAACCAGTTGTGCACCTCATCCCAAAGGAACCAATGAACCTGGGGCCACATATTTCAAAATTTTGCAAATTTTATCATAAAATGGTTGATTAATACCAAAGAGCAGATTTCAAAGCATTAATTTATTTTCAGACTTTGCCCCCCCCCCCTCACCCCCGACCCAGGGGGGGGGCATAAAAAACCATTTTGCTAGATGCAACTTTCTTCATCATAAATATATATACTTGGATCATTGGCATAAAACCCAGGAGCAAAGGAAAGATTTTCAAAGAATAAATGCATTTTCACTATAAAACCAATAGAACCCCGCCCTAACACCAGAACCTCTGACCCTGGGGTCATAAAATTCACAATTTTGTAAGAGGCACTCTTGCTCATCATAACTATGTGCTTTGATAGTTTATTTAATACCCAGGAGCAGAGAAGAAGATTTTCAAAGAATTAATGCATTTTCACTATATAATCTATATAGCCCCGCCCTAGCACTAGAACCCCTGACCCTGGGGCCATGAATTTCACAATTTTGGTAGGGGACTCAATGCTCATTACATTCATGCCAACAGTTTGCCTGCTTGATGTCCAGGAGTATAGAAGAAGATTTTTAAAGATTGCAATAATTTTAGTGGTTTTGGCCCCACCCCTCAGGCCCCAAGGGGGGGGGGAACCATAAAATTCACAATTTTTGTTCCCCTTCACCCATAGATGCTGTATACCAAATTAAAAGAATTTTCACTTTTCCCCTGTTTCCATTGAAACTATTGAAAATTTCCATTTTTAAATGCAACACGCACAATTACATGTACAGATACTAATCATTTAAGCGGTAAAGTTTCATGATGAACGTCCAAGAACAAAATTCGTCGCTTTTTGCAGATTTCCATGGCAACGGTAGCCATTTATTTTGAAACTGAATGACCAGACAACAAAACTACAACCAGTGATCCTCTTTTGAGGAAAGTTTCAAGAAGATTGTCCCAGCCATCTTCGAAAAACAGCCCGTAGAACAAAAACATGCATACAATCGCAATATATCGCCCCCGACTTCGTTCGGGGCGACATAAATATTCCCTTCTCATTCACAACATAGGATTTTGGAGTATGACAAGATCACTACCCTTTTTTTTAATCTAAAATTGTTCAGATAAGCTACCACTCCCCTTCCTTAGAAGAATAGAAAAATATGTAATAGCTGGGAGAAAAGTTAAAATTTACTGTTTATTATGTGACATTCATGAAGCCAAAGAGATGACATTTCAGGCTTTCTGGAAAGCCAAACTTATTTACTTTAAGTTTATTTTGTTCCATGCTTTATTTGATAAAACAAGATGTGTTTTTAAAACACTGATGCCCCCGTATGGCAACATAGCAAAGATTATGCTTTTATTAAATGCAAATTTAATTAATTGGTACCAAAAGTAGGGTATTCTCACTGGGATACGTTTGTGAAATTTGAAAGTAAGCTAATTTTAAAGTTATTTTATTAATAATTACAAAAATCTCCAAGGTCAAGGTCAAAGGGTTAATTTAATAAGTATTAAATGAAAGGTCTTTCCACATAAAATACTTTTGAAGAGCATGAAAGCCCTAGCCCTTACCGTTCAGAAGGTATGGTCGATGTTCAATTTCTTAAAAAGTAGGTCAAACTCCATGGTCAAGGTCAAAGTTATTGTTAT